CTGGTTTGCAGGTCTGTTAAAGCTAGTTAATCATCTGTTGCAGCTAGGCATTTCATGTAATTGTAGAAATGTTAATAAAAATAATTTCAAATTAATATAACATTATGTAACATTATTAATATCAGTGATTATAATAATAGGGGGAGGATGGTACCGAAGGATCCAGTGGAAGTAAAGGACATAAAGGTTATCGAGGAAAACCGGTACACTTTCATTTAATTTACTTTTTGCTTATTTATTAATGTTTTAAAAAGTTAATGTCCAACAAAACAATCTTGTCTTTTTAAATTATATTAATTTACTTAACATTATAGAGAAGTTTCTGTATGTTTGCAGGATACTTGTTTGAAATGTATCCAGTTATGTTGTATTATGTATTGATGTGATCAGGGAAACACTGGTCCCGAAGGTCCTCCGGGTACTCCAGGAGAGAATGGGATGGACGGACACAGGGTCAGTCAATTGCAAACACTTTCTTACAGATTAAATAAATACTTATATACATCACAAAACATTGTCAGTTTAACCCTCTGGTCCTCTTCGGTCGGAACTGACCGAAATAAATGTTTTTAATTTTTTGCTTCATTGGAATGGGAAGACACTTGGTGACTTTTGTAAAATTAGTTATGTGAACACAAAGAAAATCATGGACATGATTCGAATATGTTAAATAGTTGAAAAATAAAAAAGTAACACTTGGTACCTTCGCATTCAAAAATGACTGTGGAAAAAATAGCTCCTAAAAATTGTTGCATAGAATCATAAAATCCTCTAAAAATTCTAAATAATAATAATAATAATAAGAAATATATATTATTGAACAGAAATATTTTACATTGGTTTTCGTGAAAGAAAAACAAAAGGTTACATTTCAAGGCTTTGTCACTTTTGACTGCAAAAATACAACAAAACTGATGGGGCTGAGAGATTTAATATAATTGAAAAAAAAAGCTCATAAATATTTTATAAATATTGCCAAATATCATAAATTCCCCTCGCAATACTAACTAGTAATCAAAAATATATTACATAGATTTTCCTGAAAAAAAAAAAAA